AAATTAATATCAATATCTTGTGAATAATTTTACTGCTCATACAGAAAAATGTGCCTAACAATCCTTTAGATGGCCTGATTGTGTATTTATGGTCTCTCCTTCAGAGGAAACTGTCAGGATAGAACTGGTGCAGCTGATTCCTCCAGGTAAGAAACAGTCTACATGACGCAGACTTTAGACGATATCTGCTTTGTTTTCTCCCTCCAGTTAAATTGATTTATACATCTCGCTTAGTATTCATACTTTTGGTTTGTTTGATCTGATTTCCCTCCAGATGTCTGTAAAGGTTATATTTATGATTAGAACCAACACTAAAAAAAGTGACAAAATGTAATATTCTTAAAAAATAAGAGTATTAGCACCTAATTTGCATGGGTAAGTGAAAGTATTTGCCTGTGAAATTAGTGTTTTTGCACTTTAAAAAGGGAAAGAATATCTCTAACATCTTATCTCAAGTTCAGTTTAGATAATCTTCCTATTTCAATCAATCAATCAATCAATCAATCAAGTGTAAAAGTGAATATAGACTCTAATTTATAGCTGTGAAATTGAAGGCTGTTCACGTCTGTGGTAAAATTCGAACTAGTTCCCCACAGTGCCATAACGTCCTGCAGGAGTTATATACTGTTCAACCTTTGGTTATAAACAAATGCAGCTTCTGGGCCGTGTCGTTTCTACAACCAGGGAAATCATAGAAATAAGGATTCAGTTGGAATGATGTTGGTCCAAACTGGACAAACAAGCCTGGATATGTTTGTTTTTAATGTCTTTTCTTAAAAAAGGAGTATTTATCATTAAAGTTTTCAAACCCAAGGTGCCGTCTGAAATGCTTCAGTCAGGAAAATGTCAGGAAAAATAAAAGGCTTGGTTCTAATGAAACCTAAAGGTCTGCTGTTGACTTAAAGCGGATGTTTCTCCTTTCTACGACCGTGGTCGTTTTGTAGCTGGAGACACCCTGGCTTCCTATGAAGAAGACGCTCGAAGTTTCTTGTTTCCAGAGCCCAAACTTGTTCCCCCGTTCTCCGGATTGGGTCGAGAGGTTCTGATGATGAGAGCTGCTCACTTCCGTGTGAGTACATCCCTTTTAAACTGATTCAGTGTTTTTTGGTTAGAACATTCATTTCTGTAAAGAAAATTCAGTTTATGTCATCTCAAGGCACTTTCCAGTTCACCAGATCATCCAGTCAGATTGATTCAAA